TATATATATATATATATATATATATATACATTAGGCACATTTAAAACAGCAAACACGCAAGATTTCGAGTGATGTAATAGTATTTGGTTGAAATAGATACATTTGCATCCAATTACCTGCTTTAGAGAATAAGAATCCAAATATCAAAGAAAAGCAAATTGACGATAATTTTGTCACCTCAGACTTCTCATATTTGTGTTTTGATATTAAATAGCCAAAGAAATTGTACACGACGTTTCACGATTAACTTTACAAACAGAATTAAGACGGAAAAAAATTGAAGCAGGATTTTCTCGTCAAAAAATTCTTCTTCTTGATTTTATTTTTCTTGTAAGATCTCAGCCGTGTATAATCCTATTAGAACCGCTTTGTTTTTATCAGAATATCTACTGTAAGAGTTTCGTAACAATTTGTAATCTGACATTTTTATAACAATGCATACAGCAAAATTTTCGTAACAATGTATACAGTAAGATACTCGAAATAATACATATGTAAGATTTTCGAGATTAATCCTTCAAGAAAAAAAATATATACATATATAAAATGTCTCATAGGTTATATATATATATATATAAAATGTCTCATAGGTTATGTATATATATATAAAATGTCTCATAGGTTATGTATATATATATATATAATGTCTCATAGGTTATGTATATATATATATATATAAATGTCTCATAGGTTATGTATGTATATATATATATATATAACATGAGAATTTTGAGAGACATGGGGCTTTTTATGGGAAAGTACAATTATCAAAATGGTTTATACATTCTTAAGATCGTTTCGTTCATCCTTGCTACAGACTTGTTAGCGGTCTAGACAGGCAAGTTGATAATTCAATCTTAATCCTACGAGGTTACTTAAAGTAATTACGTTGGATGCATTAACAAGGAGGAGAAGACGTAATACATAATTCATGAAGTCTTACAATTAACGTGTTTTACATCACACGTTCCTTTTGAACCTCTGGTGTTTCACCACCAGTTTTCTAAGTCGGGAAAACCACATGCTAAGGCAAGGAACTGTTACGCAGAATAATAATCTAGCCATGACAATTTATTAAGAATAAAAACTAAGATAATGATGAATAGTCTGCTTACAAATATTAGAGATATTTTTTTTTATTTTGGAAGAACCGTTAATTTTTTCTTTGAAGTTATTGGATTACACAAAAACAAAACATTGTATATTACATTGTAAGACTCTGCAGAATGAATGACTTAATGTTTACAACTTAACGGTATAAATATTACAACATATGAAATGTTAAAGTAATCTTTCCTTCCCAAAACATACACCATACCCATTTCTTGTATATTTTACCATATTAGGCTTGAAAAGATAGTTTGGGTCTAATACACAGTGTATCCTTACTTCTCTATAATACAGTTTAGGTCTAATACACGGTGTATATCTACTTCTCTAATACAGTTTAGGTCTAATACACAGTCTATCCTTACTTCTGTCTAATACATTTAGGTCTAATACTCAGTGTATCCTTACTTCTCTATAATACAGTTTAGGGCTAATACGCAGTGTATTCTTACTTCTCTATAATACAGTTTAGGTATAATACACAGTGTATCCTTGCTTCTCTATAATACAGTTTAGGGCTAATACTCAGTGTATCCCTACTTCTCTATAATACAGTTT